GTCATGATCCTGGAGTCCCGGGATCGAGTCCCACATCGGGCTCCCTGCTCGGCAGGGAGTCTGCTTCTCCCTCTGACCCTCTTCCCTCTCGTGCTCTCTATCTCTCATTCTCTCTCTCTCAAATAAATAAATAAAATCTTTAAAAAAAAAAAAAAAGAAAGAAAAGCCAAGAAATATTGTATATGACCATGGAGCAGATAATTATTTCATACCAAAGATAAATTAGAGATTAGCCAGTGCAACCTAAATGTCATGGTCTCGAAATACTACCACGCCAGAGAGGGCTTGAATTTTTTCCGCTTCAGTTTTTCTTTGCGAGTCTCCCTTTGTAACCAGCAGGGGGCAGGCCACAGGCTCAGCGCGTTTGGAAGGACAGAGGTTCCAACTAGAAGTTAATGCTGTTGTCCGTGCTATATTTACCCTTGTAACTACCTTCTATTTAGGGTTGTCAACACAGGTTTCCCATTGATAGTAGTGATAAGTATTTCCTAAGATTAATTTCTTAAAGTAAAAAAAAAAAAGCAGGGGCAGGACTGCTTTAAAGAAAATGGGGTACACAGATAGGGGAAACATTATGATAGAGACACATGCAAGGTAGAAGTTTGGATCAGGACATTGTTGCTGCAGACCATGTGCTCTGAATTCTCTGGACAGCCAGCTCTCAAGCGGTCTGGGTTCTTGAGGGATGACCAGCTCAAAAATGCAGTTGGGGGGAGGAAGGGAACACCTCCGTCCTGAAAAGTCTTCGGGGAGGGCGCACAAGCACCCCCGTCGAGTGGCCTTTCTTGCACCTGCATGGCAGCCTCAGCCATCGGCCCCCAGCCCTCCCCACCTGCCACCTTGTCTCTACCCCTCGACCTCACCGTTCTGCCACTACTGACCTCAGGCCCCCTCCCCTGCAGGCTGTCCTGGAATCTGCTCGGGGATGAGGCGGCTGCGGAGCTGGCCCAGGTCCTGCCACAGATGAGCCGGCTGAAGAGAATGGAGTATGAGGGGCACATCCTGGGAAACCAGAACTGGGGGAGGACGTGAAGGGGGACCTCCCATCCTTGGGGAAAGCCAAGAGGCCACTGGGTCAGGCCCCTGCCTGCCAGAGAGCCCTCACTGAGTTACACATTCTGGTCCAAGCCCCTGCCAACCTTAGCTCTCCCTGGGTCCCAGCCTTCAGCCTTCCTGGGTTGTCTGCTGGGTTCTGTAAGCATCTTGGCCTGGGGGCAGGGCATATAGGGGAGCCCATCCCCCACACTCATGCCAGTTTCTCTTTCCCCTTTCTCTGCTGTCTGTTGGGAAGCCTGGAGAAGAACCAGATCACAGCTTGTGGAGCCTGGCTTCTGGTCGAAGGGCTGGCACAAGGGTCTGGCATCCAAGTCATTCGGTAAAAGGGGCTCAGAGGAGCAGGGATGATGGGTGGGAGGGGACTCCCTGTAGGAGAGACAAGACCTGGCTTGGGGATTATCAGAGGAGACCTGAATCTCTCCACCAAGAATCTGACAGCATGCAGACCTGGATCAAATCCCAGCTCTGCCATTTGCCAGTTATGGAACTTTATGTCAGTAACTCGATCTCTCTTGACCTCAGTTTCCTCCTCTGTAAAGTGGGCTCAACGATAGTGTCTACCTCAGAAAGTTTCTGTGAGGACTAAACGATTATATAAAGCACTGAGCCCAATGCCTAGCACATAGTAAGCACTTAAAAATGGTATAATCAGAGCTACCACATACAGCCGTATAGGTTGTGCACTGCACAAGGTCATTGCCTCTACGGGACATCATTCACATAGTAGATATGCTGGAGTTCTAATAAATGTAGTGAAGTGGCTTGTTTAAGAGAAATCAATATTTCATGACAATTTCAAATGATGGAAGTAGAGTGTCGGGAAGAAGGGGAGCGTTTTCCTTATTTGCACAAACATGTCATATGAGCACGGTCCTGGCTGGGATCACGAGCTCCTAGGGATGAAGACTGAGTGGGAGAAGTCAGGAGCTGGGTGTGGAGGACACCATCCCCCTAGGGGAGCCATGCTGGTCTAAGCTGCCTCTGCCAGGTAGCTCTGGGCATGCATGGCTCTTCCCCTCTTGGGCCTGGGTCTCTGCATCTGTAGATGGGACAAGGGATGGAGACAAGAGGATGAGCAAGCCACTCCCAGAGCTGAGTGCCTGTCTCTGTGCCCTGCAGCCTCTGGAACAACCCCATCTCCCCCGACATGGCCCAGCGTCTGCAGAGCCAGGAGCCCAGGCTGGACTTCGCTTTCTTCGACAAGCAGCCCCAACCCCCTCGGGGTAGTTGATGGCCCCCCTCGAGATCCTTCGAATTCAGCCAAGTGAAGCCAACTTCCGCTCACCAGGACAGAGGGCTCAGGAAAAGAGCCTCAGCTGGGTGCCCCTGCGTGCTGCCCCAAGAAGGAGGGGCCTATTTGTCCTGCCAAGGTCTTCAGGAAGGGACTAGGAGCCTCATATGGCCAAAAGACTATCCTGTATTGCATGTGACAGGTGTGCCCAGTTGGGGACATGTCACACAATGAAAGTGTCATGATGTGATATGTGACACAGGAGGTCACACACGGCAGAATTCTATGTGACGTTCTGTGGAACTTTCGGCGTGGCCTGGGGGTCAGTGGCATGGGTCCTGGCACCACACCGTGGCAGGGCATATGATCTGTGGTTCACAGAGGACATGTGACAGATGCTCATATCATACAACATGTGGCTGGCCAGATACCCTCAGGCTGGTATAAAATCTAATTTATTACTTTTTAAAGCCAAGTAAGTATTTATACGTTGCATTTTCAGAGCAGCATGGCCAGGGAGTGTTCTCCATCCAGAAATGGGATAGGGAGAGTATCCAAGCACTGACTAACCCAGTGGCCTGAGGGCCAAGCCAGGACTCAGCCATGAGGCTTTTGGATGAGTCCTGTCTTGCCTCAAGCCTCAGTTTTCCCATTTGTAAGTGGGATGGCTCCCTCCTCTTAAACCCGAGCTTCCAAAGACGTTGGGCCCAGATCTAGGTATGGTCCTCGGGAATGGACGGGCCCAGTCTGACCTGTGTCACGGAAAAAGCCAGGTCTAAGGGTGTGGAGGTAGGCACTCCCAAGATAATCAGGGAAGGCCACTGGGTCTAGACACTACCTCAGCAGGATCCGGGTGAGCTCCCAGCAGGGGCTGCATGTGCTACCTGATGTTCTTGTTATTTCCAAAAAGGCCCGAGGATGGCCCTGCCACACTTGAAGCCAAATGTGACCAATAAATGTGGATGGTATCCCAGCCTCTACCCCGAGTCTGACGTGTCTTGCTAACTCACTAAGGTCAGGAGTGTTTCACCCCCTGCCCCAGAGCCTGGAGAGCAGGACAGACCACAGAGAGATGACCTGAGAGGAACACTGGCCTGGGGGTCAGGAGACATGGGGTCAAGTCCAGACCCTGTCTCTGCATGGTCACAGGCTCGTGGACAAGTTGCCTCCCCACTCCGGAGTCAGTGGCACCATGAGGGTATTACAGAAGCTTAAAGTGTTAGAAACATTCTTTGTTTGACTTGCATGATATTGAAACTCTTTTCTGAATCAGTCGTCAGTATTTAAAAGTGAGAGCTTTTACATGAAAATCCAGATTTTCAGCTTTCGTTAGGTGTTAGGGAATCGGGGAATCTGTGGAGTCGTCTGACCGTGCTCTTTAGATGTGGCACACATCTCCGTTTGCCACAGTCCCCACCACTCCCTAACGTACCCCCCTCCCTTTTGCTGCTTGCCTGGTCCTTGTGAAGGCCTGGAAATCTCCTGACCTGGAGGGGGCCACTGGTGGGTGGTACATAAAAAACATGGCTTGGGAAGTCAGATGGGCATGAAGTGGACTGTGACTTGACTCCTTGCTGCCTGTCTTCGAAGACAGAAACTACTTCTGGACATGGGTTAGGAATGTCCCTTGGCCCCCAGGACCTTCGGAGGTGTCCAGGAAGCACAGTATACAAAGTCCCTAGTGGGCAGCAGGTACCGGTTCCATGCTAGTTCCCTTCCCCTTTCAGGGTTGAATATCATATGAGGTGAAGAGATGCTTGAAATGGCAGGAGAACAGCACCCACTGCCTGTCACCCGCCTGTGGACTGAACAAGTAGATCCCTGGCCAAGCTTTATTCCAGAGCCACACCCCATTGTGAAAAGCAGGCAGGCAGGGTGCAGTTCTGGCCTACCACCACTAGAGGGCAGGTTGCCCCACTGGTGATTCCTGAGATGGCTTCCTTGGCCATTGGGCCCAGAATGAGGTTAAGAGGTGATGCTAGGAGCTGTTCCCACCTGGCCCAGGAGCCTGGGATGTCCTGCCTGCTGGTGGCTTACCTGGATGGCTCAGCCCTGACCTTTGCTGCCCTCCACATTGTCCCCAGTCCCCCGGCAAGCACGAGGAGAGGAGAAAGTCCTCCGGCCAAGTGCCAAGCACCCACACCCCGCAGGAGGACACTCTTATCAGGCCCAGGTCAGGGCACACCTGGCACCAAATGGTGTCATCCGCCTGGTTGTGGGGGAGGGGAGAGGCAGGCAGAGGTTCTAACAAGTGTTCCCGGAAAACTCGAGCCCCAGATTCTGTCTTGCCTCCCCAGGAAATAATGCCGAGGTGACCATGGGCCCTCGGGGTGCACCTTCCTACCGAGGGGGCCCTGTGCTGTCTTGTCTCTTTATCCAGCGCTGGAGTATGAGTCCCTCCAAGCCCGAAGATGACTTGCCCAAGGAAGTCATGGCTGAGGAAGGAACAGAGCACCAAGCAGAAGCCCTAGGCCAGGTGAAATGCACACCGGGAGAGCCTCAAGCTCAGGGACACTCTCCATTTGCTGTTTGTTCGTTTTACTTGTTCCTCTTTCTTTCCCCTTCTGCTCTGCCCAGGTTCTAAAGCCCAAGAAACTTTCAGCAGCTGCCTTGAGATAAACGGTTTCTTCAGCACTGCAGAGCCGGCTGGGCCCACTCACCTTGCTCATTTTATTCATCTTCCTCTTTTGCCACCTGCTTGCTGGGAGGCCTGGACTGTTTCTCGCCAACACAGATGAGGTCCAGTGTCCCCGCCCCCTTCCTCTGAACAGTAAGCTGTTTAAATATCTACATGAAACAAACGCAATTCAAAGAAAAAAGTAAGGCTGTGGCCAAGTGAGCAGTGTAATGAAAATGGCATTCCCAGGTTCTGGACAAGAGTCTTCTCCCCGGGAATGTGATTGGGCCAGTAAGTGCCCATGTCCGTCTGCAAGGCTGGGAGAAGCTCATTTTGCTACTTTGTCACTTGGCCTCTGTCCTTTATGATGGGAGTCACAGTCTCCCTGCTTGTCCCCACAGGCCTCAAATCCTCCCAGATTGCCCCTTCCATCTTGTCCCCAAACACACCCATCTGAAATCCACTGCCCAGGCTGATACTTCTTGAACTATAAAATCACAGTTATGGAAACTGTCACATGCATGCAATCATCCGGGCATCTTGTTAACACGCAGATGCAGGTTCAGCAGGTGTCGGGCAGGGCCTAGGATTCTGCATTTCTAAGAAGCCCCCCCCCCCAACTCCCCAGCCCGCCCAAGTGATAGCTGTCCTGCTGGACCACACTTAGCATGGCAAGGCTGTTGACCAGGGAGTGGGGCTCACCCCTGCCTGCAGGTTAGAATCACCCGGGGAGCTTTTTCAAACGCCTTTTTAAAAAACCAGAGTATTTTGAACCGCCCCCGCCCCAGGCAAAGCGGATGTGCAGCCAGAGGTGGAGACTCACAGGCGTGGAATGTGAGGCCTCTTGAGAAAGCTCGGGAAGGCTCGACCCCGTCCCCTTCTTTTGTCCCGAGGCTCCTGGTGACCCTCTCTTTCCAGAGGAGGACACTGAGACCCAGAGATTTTTCCTGACTTCTCCGAAGGCACATAGCTAGTAAGGGCTCGCACCAGGAAGCAAGCCTGTGTTTCATGACTTTTTATGTTCGCTCATTTTTCTCTCCAGTTTCAGCGAGATTTACCTGACATACTGCGCTGTAGGCGTTCGAGTGTACAGGCTAAGGACTCGACTCGCGTATATCGTGAAATGATGGCCACAGTAAGTTAATTAACATCCAGGATCTCCTAGAGTTACCAAAAAAAAAAAAAAAAAAGTGAGAAAGAAAAAAACCGGTTTTTACCTTGAGAAAACTCTTAGGATCTACTCTCGTAACCACTTGCAAATTTTGCGACTCAGTCCCACAGGGGAAGACCCAGTTTTCTCATCTGTACAGTGAGGGGATGAGCAAACTGAAACAAGGCACAAGGACCCATTTTTATCAGTGCTGCAAAGGTGACCTTCTGGTTAATACTCCCTCGGGGAGGGTTTTGAATCCTCTGTCACCTGCCTTGCCTGGTTATTGTTCTGTAGGGCTTCCACCATCCGTGACCTGCTGCAGACCCATAGCCATCATCGGAGCAAGAGTCTACTCCTGTTTTTACAAAGGAGAAAACCGAGGCCCAGAGAGGAAGAAGACTTGCCAAGGTCACACAGCCGGTATTCCGTGGAGCTGCAATTCCAGTCATGGAACGGGAAGAGAGTTGAGGTGGTCCTGGCTGGGGGTTTAACTGGTCTGCAGGTCTGTGTGTTCTTCAGAGAGCCCCCCACCCAAGTCTGGAGGGCTGTGCATTCTACCTAGAGCTGCTCTTGCCCCCAACCCCCCTGCAAAGGCCAAGACCAGGCCAGAGGGCAGTGGCCCCACCCCAGCCGGAGCTGGACACACCCTCTGGACACATCCCTGAGCTTCCAGGAAAAGACCTTGCACAGCTGCTTTGGTAAAGATCCTCCCTGGGCTGGGCTCAGGAAGTTCTGGGGACAACTGGTCTGCCTCCCAGGCCCGGCAACCTCCCCAGCCAGTGAAGCACCCCGCCCCCAGCCCAAGTGACTTCCAGCCTCTAGAACTGGAGTCCTCCCTGGCCCTGGCCCTGGGAAACTGTACCTTGTGGCTCATCCCACACAAATTCCAGCCCTGCCCTGGCTGCCCAGAAAGTGACCTTTGCCCTGAGGAGGAGGCAACAGAAAAGGTGCTTTCACTAGAGAACAAAGGCCAACCGGGGTCCCCACCCCCCTCCGCGAATATTTCAGCGCAAGGTTGGGGCAGATGGAGGTGTCTGGGGCTGACTGGAAGGGCAGGGGGTGCCTGGGCATCCTGACCCTAGAAGGGGGCATCCCTGCATTACAGCGACCACAACTCTGGAACTTAAAGATAGTCCCGGTGTCTAGGCATGCTTGGTACTATTCCAACCACATAAGGGTCTCGCTGAATTCCCACAAGCATCCCAAGAAGGAGATACTAAATCTATCCTTCCATTTTACTGAGGAGGAGACTGAGGCCCAGAGGATTGAGTGATCTCACCCAGGCAGTAACTAGAGTGACTGGGATTCAAACCCAGAGCTACGACTCCATGCCTCAAATCTGGAGATTCTTGAGGGGATGTCTCCATCACGGATATATCTCCATATCAACTCCCTGTGGCAGACGGTATTCTCTGAAGATGGCCACCACCATATCTCCCATGACAGTGACAGTCCTCTCACTGAGGGGCGGGCCCATGAGCGAGCTGGTAACTACAGCAGAAGTGACGGATTATGACTTCCAAGGCTAAGGTTCTATAAAAGATAACAAGACTTCCACCTGGTTCTCTTGGGATGCTGCTCACTCTTGGGAACCAGCTGCCATATTCTGAGGAAGCCCAGGCCACCTGAATGGTCATGGATAGGTGTTCAGTGGACAACTCCAGCTGAGGTCCCAGCTGACAGTCAGCATCAACGGCCAGACGTAGGCCTTCTAGAGAACTCCAGCCTCTGTCAGGGTTTGACTGCAACTGTTTGAGAAATCCTAAACAGGAACCACCCCAGCTGAGCTCAGGTGATCGCCCCCCGCCCCAGAGCCTTGAGAGATAGATAATAAGATTTGGGGTGATTTGTGGGATGCAGCATCAATAACCAGGACACTCTCCATCCTCAACCCCCTCACGCATGCCTGAGGCCAGCCAGGGCCTGGTACACCACACTCTTTTGGAGTGTCTTTAATTCACAAGCACACTGAAGTGTATAGGCAACCCTGGTTATTCTCATCTGTCTGTCCAGACAGCCTGAACTGTGGACATAAACACCCAGACAGCAGGTGCTTTATACACACACACACACACACACACACACAATATAGACCTATTTCAGGAAATCGAGGCCTTCTGGTTTTGCAGAGAGACCTCTACCAGGGCAAGGAAAGACTCCCTTCAACATTTTGCTGTAACAGCCTTGCATTGTGTGTGGATCAAGGACAGAGTGTAGAATCAACACATGATGGACACTTGGCCTTCATCAATTGACCTCTGGCCTCTCCTGATCCCTGACTTCGTTTTAGACAGCTTTCTTGAGATATAATATTCACCCCTTTAAAGTATACAAGTCAATGGGCTGAGTGTACCTACAGTCCGCAACCACCACTATCATCTACTTTCAGGACATTTTTAATCATCTCTCAAGAAACCCCATATTTTTTTCAAAGATTTTATTTTTGCGAGAAAGAGAGAGCACATGAGCAGGGGGGAGGGCAGAGGGAGAAGCAGACTCCCCACTGAGCAGGGAGCCCGATGTGGGGCTCCATCCCAGGACCCTGGGATCATGACCTGAGCCGAAGGCAGACGCTTAACAGACTGAGCCCCCCAGGTGCTCAAAACCCCACATTAATAGCAATCACTCCCCAATCTCTCCTCCCAGGCCAAGAGAGCCACTAAGCTGCCTTCTGTGTCTGTGGACTTGTCTACTGTGGACATTTCATAGAAATGGAATCAGACAATATGTGGTCTTTTGTGACTGGCTCCTTTCACTTAGCATCATGGTTTCAAAGTTTGTCCAGATCGTATGCATGCCACACCTTTCCATGACTGAATAATATTCCATGGTATGGATAGACCACATTTTGTTTATCCATTCATCGCTTAATGGGCATTTGAGTTGTCCCCACTTTTTGGCTATTCTGAACCGCGCTGCAATGAACAAACATTTGTGTAGGAGTTTTTGTTTGGACATAGGCTTTCATTTCCCCTGGGCAGCTACTTAGGAGCGGAATTGCTCTGATCCCTGACCTTTATTATATTCTGTCCCTTTGGTCAGGGATCCAGGATCTTCTTCACCCTAGGCAGGCCCAACTACCTCATCCTTCAGGGATCCCAGGGTAAGTCTGACTTCCATGGCTGAGTTAGGTCTTCTGTGCCACCCCACCTCCACCTTTTGCACTTTTCACAAAATAATACAATTACCTGGGACATGGGCTTGCTCCAGAGAGGCGAGGAACTTGAGGGGAGGGACTGTGCTAGGGTTCACCATTGTTCATCCCAGGACCTGCCCCTCCTGTGGCTCTGAAGCAAGGAGAGGAAAGGGATGCAGGGGGCCAGATCAATCAGGAAAGCTTCCTGGGGGAGGTGGGGCTGGAGCTGGGTCTAAGTATGCCTATAGATTGGTTTGCCCCGCAGCTGGGCTGAGGGTTTGAAGACTTCCGTGGAGGAAAGGTGAGGAGAGCTTGGAGAAAGGAAGGATGGATGGGAGACAGGCAGAGAACAAAGCTCAGAGCCCTGGGGTTTCTTAGTGGCCGCCCCTCTAAGGCTGCCAAATGCCTGTGACTCAGACTGGAGGGAGGTTCACAGGCTGCCCTGAGTCTCCTAGTTAACCCTCTCCTACCTGGAATGGAAGACCCACAACCCAAGTGCCCGGTCCTTGAGCCGCAGGGCCAAGGGCTTTGGACGGGGCCGCCAGATCTCCCACAATCTGGTTAAATGAGGCTCAGTCGACCGAGGCCATGAATTGGGGGTGGGGAGTGGTCTGCAGCAGGAGCGCCCGGTGACAGATGCATTTCTTAAGAATTGGAGCTTCTTCTAGGGTAAAAGAAGGCCTTCTCAGAAAGGGGGGACTCGGTGCTAGGGCCTCAAGGCCCCCTTAATTATGCTTCCACTAATTAGCCCCAGGCACTGTTGAAACTGTCTTTATCCTACCGTCTCTGCCAGAGAAATATGTGTCATCTTCTCAGTGTCTGGCGACAAGAAAATGCCGAGCTCTTTTACTACGGAAGGGGCGGGGGGGGGGGGGCGGGAGAGAGACACTGCGGTCCTAGTGCTGCTCAATGCGGCCCAGAACCTAGCCCTGCGGTGTACCCCCCGAGGGCGCAGAGCGGGGTCCTGGGGGTCGAGGCCCCGGGCTGAGCCCACCCCTCGGTTCCCGCATCCGCGGCCGTGAGCGCACGGTGCTCGGAACTCGGAGGTGCCCGCGGCTCCGGCGAGGCCGGCCAGGGAGGGTGCGAACCAGCGGCGCTCCGATCCGCGGAGTCCCAGCCTCGAACGTTCGGACCCTCGGATTCCGGCCTCGAGCGTTCGGACCCTCGGGTTCCGACCCCGGGTGTTCGGCCCCCGCGGCGCCGAGAGCCCGGAGCGCTAGGGCGCGCCGGCCACGGACTCGGAGCCGCGGGCGGCGGGCGGGACAGCGCCCCCGGTCCGCCCGTGGGGAGCGCTCGCCCCTCCAGGAAGCGCCCGCCTCGCCTCCCCACCTCCCTCCCCACCCCCGCCCCTTCTCGGCCGGAGGGAGGAGCCCGAGCCGCCGCCGCCGCCGCCCGCCCCGGAGGAGCGCGGGACCCCGAGCGGCTGCGAGCGCACGCGAGCTGGCCAGGGCCGCGCGGACAGCGCCGTGAGTCCGTCCCGCGCCTGCGGGCCCCGCCGAGCAGGGGAGCGCCCCGGGATGCCCCGGCGGCCCGGAGCGCGGGCAGCGGCAGCGGCGGCCGCGCCGTGAGGGCGGCGGCGCCCGCGGGACCCGCGGTGAGTGGGGCCCGGGCGGCCCAGGGGCGGGCGGGGCGCCCTGGCGCGAGCGCTAAGTTCGGCCTTGGGGCTCGGCTTCTGGCGCCGGTGGCGGGCTGGAAGGAAGCTGGGTTCCGCCTCGCGGGCCGTAGCGCCCCGAGCCCCCGCCACCCGCGCGCACCCACGCTCGGGCGCTTGGGTGACTCAGCTGCGACCCGGCCACGCGGGGGCGCTCCGGCTGCGTCCCGGGGCAAAGTGGGGAGGGTGCGGGACGGTGGCGCCCCTCAGGGTTCGAGCCCAGCTGTTTAGGGACTCTCCTACCTTCCCCGGGAGCCTGGGGGCGTCGGGAAGGTAGAGTCCTCGACACCGTCGCAGCTGCCGAAGCCTTGGGGTCGGGATGGCCCCTGGCCCCCCGCACCCTGCTGTCAACCCCCAGTCCCCCCGCCCCAGCGCCCTGCCGGAGAGCCAGCTCCCAGCCCAGGAAGAGGGAATGAAGGGAGGGAGTGGAGCTGGGCAGCTTCCCAGAAGTCGAAGTGTGTTTGCAAACTAGTTTTTTCGCAAAAGCTGTCTGGCACCTTTGTGGTTAAGGGGGTGGGGTGGGGGGACATGGGGAGAGAGAAAGAGCTAAGCTCCTGATTCCTTTCCGTTTCCCTGCAGCCCTGCTTTTCTGAGACTAGAGGTGTCTTACTCCGCTCTTGGCATCCCATCCCATCCCTCAGCCCCGCCCTCTGCCCCCCCCCCTTCTTGGACAAGCTCCTTGGAGAGGGGCTCCTTGGAAGGGGGCTGTGATTTGCCCAAGATCACAAGTGGGAACTGGACCCCGGGGCTCTGGTAGCCAGTTGAGGGCTCATCCGGCTGCCTGTGATTCTCCCAGCCCTGTTCTGTATTTGGGGAGAGTGACACCGGCGAAGGATCTGGGAGAATTATGAGCGGCCCTTTGTTTTGTCTGCCCTTAGTTTTTGCTTGCCTTAGGGGTGTGGGCTGTCACCCATGGGTGGAGTGCTTTTTCTGTTCCTTGGGGTACCCACAGCTTCAGTAACTGGGGGGAGGAACCCCTTTGTAACCTTCAGCAGCTGCAGCCTGCCTGTGGCCAGTCTTGCTGGGCAGCCTTGGGAGACCTGGGTCTGAATGTTCACCCAGCAGTGAGCTGCGGGGCCACTCTTCCCCCGCCCCCAGCCTCCCCGTGCTTAGCTGTAAAATGGGCTGATGGTCAAGGACCTGTGCGCCTGGAGGCTGGGTGCAAACATAAAGGAGTGGTTTTATTGCAATCCCTCTGATGTAGGGCCCAGTGTGCTCTGATGTTGCCCCAGGCAGGCAGCCTCGCTGGCGGCGGTGGGAGGGGTCCCCCTTGACCCCCCCCCCCCCCCCCGCAGGTCTGGCCATGGAAAGAACCAGGGACTGAGAATGTTGACACTTGGATTCTCCTTGCCCTCTGCTACTTCCTGTTTGTGTGCCTTCTCACTCACTGGGCTCGGGGGTTTTTCCATCTGTAAAATGAAGCAAACTATGACACATTACAGTTTATAGGGCTGCTGGGAGGCTGCAGCCGGGCACAGGGGTTCTGCAAAGTGGGGCGCGCTTCATGAATGGCATGTGTGGTGTTTCAAGGTACCCCCCCTCCCAGGGGCCATGAAAATTTAAAAACTCAGGGACAGAGGGCCAGGGATAGAGCCTCAGTTTCTATACGTGTAAAGTAGTAAGAACAATACTCTGTATACCTTTGTAATCTTTTAGGGTAATTGTGTATTTATTTCAAGGGAGTTGTGAGGATTAAATTAGGCAACAAAGGGCTCACGTGCCAGCACTGGGACTGGTCTGGTGACAAGCACTCGGTCACTGTTAACTGTCAGTATCGTTGTTCCTGGGAATACCCATCAGCCCGATGAGGGCATTTAGGATTCCTTCTGGGGTTTTCTCAGGCCAGGCTGCTGCTCCCTCTCCTGCATCCTCCTTGGAGAGAAGAGCCTCAGAAGCCTTCTAGACTGTTCAAAGTGCAGTGTCCTGAGTGGGAATGTTCCACCCCAGTGAGGAGGACACCATGAGGGATGGTAGATCCGACTGTCTTCCCATTCCCTGCACCTTGGGCTGGCCTCACAGGGCTCTAAGGAGTGACGGAAGAACAGAAGAACATTCTCTAAGAATTCCTTCACTCCTGTCAAAGCCGGGAGCATTGTC